CCTTTTCCTCTCACAGTTCCAGAACATGGAGATAAAATCTAATGCAATATCTCAGTGTGGAGCCTCTGACACCTAAGCTGGAGAATGCCCAAAATTCCATGAGCTCTGTGAGACTCTGAGTGATTACTTCTTCAATCTTTATTCTCTGCAGCCTTTTTACATTTCTCTTTCACAATATTTCAATCCCTTTCTGCATCTTTCATCTAAGTCTGTCCTAAGAGACACCCACTCCTACATTAAAAGGTACCAGAAAGCTACAAAAGTCAGCAGAGACTCTGGCCACAGCCTTGGAGGCAGAATGAATGTTGAGTATGTCAGAGTGCTCTTGGTGGAAACCTTCCCAGACCTCCAGCCTGCATGAATAAGCCAGCAATTAATAGAGGCAGGAAGAGAGCAGGAGATGCATCACCACCCTGGCACCAGCTCCCTCAACACATCCATATCCTGTCACCTGCGGCAAGGTCCAACCCTTCCTTTCTTTCTAATTCCTCAAAATATTTTAAAGATCAGGGGGAAAAAAATCTGAGTCATCCCAAAGGGACAACCCCATCATCCTCTGCATTCATAGCCCACCACCAGGCAACTGCCCTGCTCCAAAGGGGAAACAAAGGGCAGAAAACTCTGTATTGTCATCACCCCTGACATAACCCCTGAGAAAGAAGAGAGGTAAATGCACCTCCCCAGTTACCTGAGAAAAATCTCTTCCAGAATAAGACACTGGAGAGTTGCATAGAAATAGTCACACAACATTTCTGAGCCATGAAATTCTAGGGCCTCACATCAGGAAGAATCAGAAGTTGTAACCAAAAAATGCTCTCCCTCACCTTTGTTCCCTCCAGGTACACCCTGCAACACCTGCAAGCCTCTCTACCTCGTGCAGCTGTGCAGCTCCACACCCCCTGGCCCAGAAAAGCAAGCAGAGCATGAACACCCTGAACTTTTACTGAAAACAGAAGGTAAACACAGCCTGGCACATAAGTCAGCCCTTGGACGAGCAGCTGGCCCGTCCTGCTCATCTACAATCCCTCTGCAGCTCTTCATGAGCACTCCCCCATTTCTCCACACACAAACACACAAACTCTGCAGAGCAGCCACCACAAATAAAAGTTACAACTGAAGCAGCAGCTCTTTGATCAGCTGTGGAATGTGAAGTTATGAAGGATGCAAAAGCCATCATATCTTTTCCTTTCCTTGAAGGGACTAAAAAGATTCAAAAAGGCAAACTAAAATGGACAATCCTCAGAGAACAAAGTGCAGCAGAAGTGGAGCCAGTTGAGGCAGTGTCTGCACACTTGGCATCTTCTTCCACATCTCCACGATCTCCTGAGGCTGCCTGGGGTGTCAGAGCTTCACCCCTCTGCCGAGGAGCTGAACCAGCACATAAAGCAGCAAAGAATTGACATCCCAAAGATTCACACCTGCCTCATTTTCTGCATGAGGACTGTCCTGCACAGGGAGAGAGAAGGGTTCCAGCTCTTGGTACCAAAAAAGGAGGATCCAGCCCTTCCCTCCTCCATTTATGCCTTCATTGCCCCACTGATGGCTCTACCACCTTCCTGCTCTTCAAAATCCACACCTCTTTTCCCTCACTGCATTCAACAGTGACTTTAAACATTTCTTAAACTATTTTTTTTCTGGACTGAATCAAGGCCTGCCTCCTTCCAGTCATATTTAGGCCAGAGCCTTCATCCCAGCTCAGTGTGCTGGCAGTGCAAGGAGCACTGGGTGCACAGCTGGGGTTATGACAGCAGAAACAGGCCTGTCCCACCAGGCACAACACTCAAGGGGAAAGCTCAGGCACTTGATTCTTTGGAGCATTGAGCTTTCAGGATCTAAGGCACCAACACATGCAATGGGAATTCAACCACAGGATACAGGTGGGCTTTGCAGGTGAGCTCCTCCCTGCTCACATTGCCCCTGCCTGCTCTCTGAGGAGCTGGAGCCAATTCACTCCCTCTGGACTGTAAATGGGTTAGTTGCACTACCTCATTAGCGGATTGTTTTTATTTTCTTTTGTTTTCACTTAGAGTCAGGATTAAAAACATGAAGGAGACGAATTTTTTAATGTTTGGGTTTGGTTGTTTAGTAAATCTTACCTAAAGTAGAGTGTTGTGCAACACTTCTAGGTACAAGCTAAAAGTGAGCAAAATGGAGGTGAATCTTAGTTAGTCACAAAGTTTTTTAAAGCTAAACAGTTCAATAAAGAACTAACACTTATATTATTGTTACTTTTGACCCAATAACTGAACTCCTGTGACTTGTAGTGTAGCACTATCCAACCAAAAACTACTACCTGCAAGTATGAAGAAGGAAGAAGACAGAGACAACACCCAAAATCCTCCATCTTGTCCTATACCTACTATTATATTCTAAAAATTCTAAATTCCAAATTCTTCATTATGTGAAATTATACCCTTTTATTCTAACTACACACACATGAGCCCAGCTCCATCACTCAAATTTGGAAGTCTTCTCCAAGGCCTCAAGTCAAAAGCAGTGTTCTCCTGGGGGTCAGTGTCAGCACAGAAAGTTTAAAATTCCCTTTGGCTTTGGGTTCCAACACTGGATCTGTACTATGCCTTCAACTTCTGCAGCAGAAACCCTTCCTTTGCTGCCCTGGAGTCACAGGGTGACAGCTCATGCTGCAGCTCCAGCATCCTGCCCAGCCAAAGGTGAAGCCTCCAGAAGCTGCACAAGTGATGCTGAGATGGAATTTCTGCAGGAAGGAAAGACGTGACTTCCCTGTGATTGGGCTGCTGGGATGAACTAAAAGGAGCCAAATTTTCTACTTGCAGTGTTTTTTATTGGATAGCAACCTTCCTACTGGGGTTATTTATAAAGAAGTGTTACAGACTGTGTTAAGTTATACATTGCAGAATTTCAAAAGATGACTTAAAAATTACGATTTTTTTTTCCCCTCTTCTCTTCCTCAGAATATAGAGTAATTTCTAGGGAATTTTATTTCTTTCCAAGTCAATACTTAAGGATCCCAAAAGTATTGTGGTATTTCCAAGTGTGTCTTTCACAGCTTAATTCTTGCCTGTGGCAACTAAAATTCTCCTGGATTCAAAAAAAATCTCAGGGCTGATACACCAAGGGGCAGTGGCTGAAAAGGCTTCCCTGGAGAGCTTATGGATGCCACAAGCACAGGCAGGGCTGAAAGGCTGCTCTGGACAGCCTGGCTGTGGCACATGATCCAGGAGTCACATCAGCTCCCTTTCCATGCCCTGCTTACCTACAGTCAGAGCAACCAGGAGTCCCCCAAGGATGAGCTCAAGAGCAGCTTTTTGAGTGCACATCACATCCAGTCCCTGCACCAGGCCTTGGGCACCTGAACAGATCTGCAACTTCCTCTTGTCTCCATCACACATTCTATTCTCTGCCTGGCCCCAACATGTCCCCACGGGTACCACTGATGCCTTGAGGAGCTGGAACAGAGGCTACACACAGAGTTAAGCAAATAAAATGGGTGTTTATTGTGAGGCCTACAAAAGCCACACCCTAGCAATAGAAGTGCCACAGTGGTGGCCCCTGCCTGGATGGCTCCAAGATGGAAGGAAAGGAGGGGTTGGTCACAAAATCTCACACTTTGATAGGTTCTGGTTAATTTGCATGAACCCACCCTCCACCTTTCCACGCAGTTTGTGCTAAGGGCATGAAGTCTGGAGAAACTGCCCTTGAGTTCTTAACTAGAATAGGAACTGTTTTGTCTACATCACCCCAGCACATCAGAAAAGCACATCCAAGGAGAACAGGAAAACTTAAAACTAAAGGCATCACTACAAGGGCACTACAAAGTGAGCAGGAGCCAACACTTCTCCCTGTTGGAAACTGGGGTAGGGGGGCTGTAAAAAGGACTGGCAAAGACTCCAGGTGACAGAAGCAGCTGCAGAAATGGCCATGATGGAAGGAGAAAAGAAAAAAAAAAAGGTTTGCACCAAACCCCAGCCTTTCTCTCCCCTTCCCTTCCTACCTCCACATGCTGCTCTCAGATCAAGAATTTTAAATGAAGTGTCACTGGAGTTATTAATGAAAAGAAACCAAGAAAACCTCAGTACATTGTCTTAGAGCCTTTGCATTCACAACATTAGCACGATTCAGCCAAGGACAACTTGAAGGTCATTAGAACAGATCCAAGAAAAAAGGAAAGGACTCAGCTGGCTGCCAAAGACTGTGTGACTGCTCTTATAGCAAGAGGCATCTCCTGTGCAGGCTTAAACACACACAGCTTACCTAAAATGATAACATCACTCTACCTTACATTCTATTTAACAACTTTATCCCCCACACAACAGTTCAACAGCACAGAACAATTTGCTACTTGTTCACACAGACTTTCTGTGGATTCCACAGGATTTTCTGTAGGTTTTGCAATGAATTTATTGCTTGCATAATGCTTTCTTTTGCCACAGAGAAGACACAGCCCTGTTAGAAGTCAGGTGAGTTTATGCTGAGCTCTCCTGCCCATCAAGAAGAACTCAGGATAAGCTGATGGGGACAATATCTACATGGAAAATACTGACACATTAGACAGCACATGTAGTGACCTCATCTAAGCAAATTTCAGTTTAACCCCTGTTGAAGCAAACACTGGGGATAAATCCAGATGTCACCTTTGCCAGCAAGGATTCACATCAGTGAACAGGATATAACTCACCTGTTTTTTATATCCCAGTGAAATCAAGACCTAGGAGTCACAAAGCAGTGCAGAAGTCTTGTGCAGTGCTGTCACTTCCCAGCTGCACCTTCTCCTAAGGACATCAGCTGCAGGGGTGAATTTATGACAGGGCCCTTGTCCCCTAACTAAACTCATCCCCACAGCCCATCCAAACCCTGGGTCACCAAATTGCCTTTTCTCCCTGGGGGCAACTCCTCCTGCCTCTCTGCTGCTGAGATCTCACTCTGTTTCTGACAGATAAATAAATGCACTTTCATTCTAAGGCTCTTAACCATAGGTGCAGGCACACATGGACATAACCAAGGCACGTCAGTTCTCTTACCTGAGCCGTTTCTGCCTTCAGGATGGTTTTGTGAAAGGTATTCTCCAAAAGCCCTCGCAGCTCTGTGTGCCAGCATCAGGAGGCAGCCAAGGAGAGAAAGAGAGAGATTTGTGATGCATAAAGGCCAAGGAAAGAAGGAACAGTTCAGTAGCACTGCTGTGCTCCTGCAGCTGCCATTCCCTCACCTCCAGTGACAGCCATGGAAATACACTGCCAGAGCAGTGAGGTTTCCTCATTACACACCAGGGTTCCAGTGCTTCTGGTGGAACACCAGTGTTTCCCTGGCCAAAGGGGGAAACAGAGCTAGACTAAAAGCCCAGGACTAGTTTAAGCTTTAGCTTCTCTCTTATAAAAATGAAAAAATAGAATCGAAATGCACCTGCATGAAATCTGTGACACACACAGGATCTGGATTACTGTCTCCAGTGCCCCTGAGTTAAGCCCCTCCAGGCATCTCCACCCCAGAGCCAACCACCACTCCAGGCTCCTACAGGTCCTAAAAGCTCCCACTTGGGAGCCATCATAGCTCAGATGTGGATGCTAATGCCCATTTTACCTATCTGATCCCTAAGTTCTCAAGCCCCAGCTATGTCAGTATTTGGATTACTGGACAAGCTTGTTTGAGAGACACCCACAACCTCCCACAAATGCAGATCCTGCTTCTCTGGTGGATTCCAGTCCTGTGGATGACCGAGATTTTACTGGAATATATTAAGAATCAAGCAAGCAGGGTGAGCTCAACCCTTATCACACATCCAGGCCTACGTAAGAGAGCAGACCTATGAATATTCCAACCAGGGAAGAGCTTTCTGCTTGCAACCCACACAGGAAAGGAATCCTTGGTCAAGGCATGGAATACAGTAACCTCCAGACTCCAACTGCCAGGGCATTTGTAATGTCCTGATGCCATGATTGTTCTTCTGTACCCAATAGAACTGTGCCTCAAGAGAGCCAACACCAGAGCCAGGTTTTCCCCAGCCACCCATTTTCCCATGTATTGTATAACAATCTCTCCAAGGTCTGCAGCATCCCAATTGGGCTGAGCTGCCATTGGGTGGCCCAGGTGGAGACTGGCAAAGAAGGAGGTGAAACAGCCACTCACCTCCTTGGCAAGCCAAGCCAAGCCAAGCCAAGAAACACAGAGCTGAGCACCCTCAGCCCTCAAGCACATCAGCATCTCCTGGGGAACAACCAGACTTGCTGTAACAGGGAAGACTCTCCATATTGAGGCATCACATCCACTGTCCTCCTCCTTCAGAGGTGCTCAGCCTCAGAGCACCCTCTCCAGTTCAAGCTGCTGCAAAAGGCTCATAATGACCATCAAACACCTAAGTGGAAAATGGCTTTGTCCTCCAAAACCACCTTCTGCTTTGCATATCCCAACTTGTGTAGCCAGAATCTTCCCCACTGCTTTTACACACCACCTCCCAGAGGAAAAACAGTTAACAAGGCTCCAGTGCACTTCCCAGACGACTCGGGCTGGAAGGAGTGGGAAGTCCATTTGTCATCCACAGCCGGCAACACAAGATCAATATGAACGATGAAGAAAGAGTAATTTAATCTCCCCAGGACTAAATTTCAGCACAGTCAAATGCAAAATGCTTTGGAGCAGCACAGTTGGAGCTGTACAAAAAAGGTTTCAGCTTTTGCATCTTTTCAGACTAACAGACAACACTGAGATTTTCCCTGTTTTTGGATTCCTATGTGTCCAGTCCCAGGCTGTACCTTTAGACAACGGCTTGGGGTGGCAGCTGCCCAAACTGTGCTCCTCAGAGCCAAACACCCCCAGAGATGGTCACACACAGGCTGTCACACGGGGAGCTCTACCACCAGCTCAAAACCCCACTGTGAAGAGCAAAGGGGTGACCATCGTGGTTCAGCCATCCAGGAGGACAAGCATCTCCCATTTCACCCATCCAGGAAGACAAGCACCTCATGGATGTTCCTGGCACCCTCAGCCTTTCTGCCCAAGCAAAAAGCAGGACTTGATCCTGGAGCAACACACTCATGCAAAGTTGGGAACTGGAGTGTGGCTGCTTCAGAGAAGTGCTTGAGTCAACGTCCCTGGAGTGTGGATGTGGCACTGGGGGACACAGTTTAGTGGTAGATGTGGCAGGGTTCAGTTTGCAGCTGGACTCATTGACCTTGGAGGTCTTTTCTAACCTTAACAATTCTATTATTTTAATATTAGGCTACTCAGCTGCAAGAGAATTCCCGAGCTGTTCCTGTACTCCATCTCAGAGGTGGTTAAAGCTCAGCCAAAGCCATGGCTGATCTTGCACACCACTGGTAACAGCACAGCTTGAATAAGATGGCTGGGCATGAGATTCCAAGATCTCTTCCACCAAAACTTCTGGAACTCCAAGGTATCCCACAGAAATGTCTGTCCTTGTGAGGCATCACCAACACCATTCACAAACAGGGCATGCACTTAGACCACTGGAAAAAATTTTGAAGCTTCTCTTTTACATTCAGCAGTCATTCCATGTAGAAAAAAAAAACCAGCAAGCAAGTTCTCAGGTAAATTATCAGTGAGAGAACATGGTGATTTACACAAAAAATGCTGAAATATGATGATAGCCTGCTACTAGCTCAAAAGCTCCAAATTCATTTGTCATTGTCTCCATTCATCTCTTTGCCAATGCCCGAGGCTGTTTTGACTGTCTGAAAATCTGAACCAATGCTTCACCTTTAGCTTGCAAACCACAGGCTCAAAAAACCAGTACAAAGCATTTCCTAAGATCCAAATTGACAACTGGCTAAGACAGAAGCAGAGAAGCACTGCAGCCCTCCAGCCCATCTTACTCCATGGTGCAAACAGTGTCACTCAGAGAAGAGCCCAGGCTGGAAGGTGCTGCAGTGTCTCTAACCTCACACTCTGCTTTCCCCGAGCAGAGGAGGGAGGAAGGTACAGTCCCAGGTGCCAGAGCACATGTCACACCCAGAGAACAGGCCATCCCCAGAGCTCCTGTGCAGGTCAGTAGCACAGTCAAGGAGCACAGAGCAGCTCAGGCTGAACCTGCAGCTCTGTCCTGGCCGTTCCACCCCGTGGTTCTCAGACCCTTCAGCCAACCCAAGAGCAAACAAATGTGGGCACTGGGCACAGCTCCCCAGCCCTGCCTGCACAGCACAGTGTGCAACGGGGGGTTTCCAGCCAATTACACTGCAAACTTCACACTAATTATTCTGCCTATTATCTCAGTGGTTCCCTTCTACATTCCTGCTTTCTGATTGCCATTGGCTTCTCCTCGGCCACGGCTCAGTGGATCTCCCGCAGATGTCTGCACACACCCTCTGCCAAGGGGACTCTGATGGCCACACTTGCTCCTTATGGCTACCTGCCCCTTGCCAAGCCTTTTGTGCTCTTTTCCTGCCCTCCCAGTCACTCCAGTTCACCGGCACTTGCCTGGGTTGTTATTGTGCCATTTCTCCACTTTCCTTGGCTACCCATCGGCTTGATCAAAATAAAGCCAGGGCAAAATTCAAACAGATGGCAGCTGTTCTATTCATCTCGTTGTTTTCTCTCTCTTTTATCTACTACCACAAGTCACACAATCAGACTTTTCTCTCAGCTCAGCTCTGCCTCCGCTATTGCCAATGGAGTTGAAGTCCCATCACATCGTTGGACAGCACTGGATATAAACCCCTTCAACTGGGCTCTGAGCAGAGACACCTTGGGATAATTTAACTGGCAAGAGATGAAAAATGAAAACTTGTTTCACATAAATGAGATGAAGTACAAGGTGCCTTACAGCTCCATGGGCCGGTGAGCTATAACCCTGAGTGTATGACACTGCAAAAGCTGCATACAAATGAGCAGGTAGCACTGAGGGGTGATCAGCTGATGACAGGACAAGTTTAGCCCTGACTCATCTGGAGAGAGGTTTTCATTTTAGTGGCAGACCAGAGCTGCATGTCACACAGTCAGCACAGCTTGATTTAACAAAAGGACATCAAGCAGGGATCAGGGCTCCAGCACACTGTGCTGCTCAGTCTAACCAGCCTCAGAAAACACCAGCATTTCCTCCAGCATTCCATCAGAACGGCTCCAGGGAGGGAAGGGAGACAAGGCAGCACAGCACAGGCACCAAAGGCAGCTGCCCTTCTGGGGGCATCTTCCAGTACTCACTGTGCCTCAGATGTCAGAGTAGCACTCGGGTCTGCAAGAGAACTGTGAAGAAGCACAGACAGTCTAGACAGAGATTTGCTCGAAGGAGCAAAGCCGCCAAATAACAGAGATCTCAATTACAATGTAATAAGCAAGCAATGGCCTTCATGTCTCTGAAATAATCACATCAGCGGGATAAAAGGGGCCTTGATGCACACGAGCAGCTATGAGAAACTGATGCACATAAATTTATCCACCAAACTGACACTTAGAGAGTGAAGAAATGCAGATTGAAACACTCAGAGATACAGGAAAAGACCTTAGATAACTCCATTTAGAGCACAGCAGCAAGCTAAGCAAAACCTGGACTATTCAGGAGTATTACATGGAAAAATAAAGAACACCCACCACCTCCTCGTGCTCCTTCAGAAGTAATGCCCAGAGGAGTTGCAGCAGAAATCTGTTGTGACAGCATCTGACAGTGCTGTATCTGAGGCATACAGGAGAGAAGAGACCCGCATCATCAGGACCTACGTCCTCCTACAGCAGCAACCCTGCTCTTGTCACCAAGCAGAGAAGGGAACACCTCCAGCACATCCAGAGTTAACAGCTCAGTCATTAAAGACTGTTGACACCTACGTTATTTAAGCCTAATAGTAACAATAACCTGACAAAAATTAGTTTTTTAAAATATCTATGTAGAGAAATGGTAGCTGGAAAATTTTAATTTTAAAATTCTCACACCCAGTAAAGGGAGACTGGATGTCAGCAATGGGTCATACAGACCCCAGAGTACTGGAGCAATTTATGATCACAAAGTTTGGACAGGAGAAGAGAGGAAGAGCAGGCAGAAGTTAAAAGAAAAAGGCAATCAAAGAGACAGTTCATACCACTCATCAGAAAATTCACAAGCAGAAAAGAAGAATCTAGACTCCATGAAGAACCCCAAGCTAAGCCAAAAATCACTCACGCAGCAAGAAGCCTGGGATAAGGTATATGGTCACTTACCTCTGCATTTCATCAATGAAAAACTGAGCCCTCCATAGCAACTAATGCCATGTTCAAAGCCACTCTTCATCCCTCTCTAGGCAGGAAGAGAGGCAGTGAGACCACATTCCTATCCCTCTGTGGGCTATCCTGGACTAGATGCCAAGGTGATGGAATTGGGCAAGACGAAACACACTCTGTACTCAAGTATTTCCTGTGCTAACTACTGCAAGAAGAGATGGTTCTGGAACACCCAGCAAAAGCCTCATGTCTGTTTGCTCTCACGTCACGCTCTCCCAAAGAACAGCTGTAGGCCAGCACAATACAAAGCAGAGCTGCAGGAAAACATCTGCTTTACTGCCTCATTTGGGGTGCCAGCGTTTTCCTGTAGGTGTCAAGGCAGCAAGGGCAACGAAAGCCCATTTCTGAAGGGCTTTGGTTCATCTGCACCCTTGGAAAAATTCTAAGGAAGCCAAGGAGCACAGGTCAGCCATCCACAGCTAGGGCCCTGGAGAGGCTGTCAGCAGAGGGGCAGCACCAAGGTCACCGCTCAAGGACAACTGCGTCAGCCCTGCCTTCAGCACTGGGGCCCAGGAGCTGCAGGGCAATAAAAGCACACGCCGGGAGGGAACAATCCCTCCTGACACGGAGATCTTGCATCCAAGCCTTTCAGAGGCGATCAGAGCAGCAGCACCAAGCACAGCCCGTTCCCAGGTGTGCAGGGCGCTGCAACTCCCCCAGGAGGAGATGACCACAGAGACCAAAGTCAGCAGCATCCTGGGTGCTCTCCACAGTGTTGGCACCGAGCAATTGTATCCTTAGTCTGTAAGAAGCTACTTAAAAGACCCAGCACACAACAAGCTGCATGGAGCTTAATTAATGCTCCTGGGACACAAGACTCCCTTGAGCCTCTCCGCAGAGGTTTTAATTTAACAGCCCAGGGAGCCTGCACCTCCTGCTTGGATCCCATTACTCACACCACCGAACAAGCCCTGCTCCTTGCTCTGTAAGCCAAGTGTGCACACACACTCCAGCCACACCTAAGAAACACACACTGTCATCACCTGGACTTGCAGCGGAATTCCAGGAGATGATTTTTCTCTCTGAAGAGAAGTAATGAGAAATATGAACAGGACAGAGCCCAGAAGATGCAGAGAAGCAATCCCAGGGCATCTCCTGCAGCACAAGAACAGGATCCCCCAGCTGCCTACACCCACAGGGCACATTATCATTGCAGCAGTGCTACCACAGAGGTGACCCAAGTGCCCAGCCCTCATGGAGTGGACAGAACAGTCTCTCTGTAGCTTTATCCAGTGTCCTACAGAGCCCTTGCTGTACATAAGGATGTGAGAGATACATAGAGGAGGACGCAGGGCAGAGCAGAAGAGCTGTGTGTGATGTGCTCCAGGAAACCTTTCAGCAGGTGGGTCATTGCCACTGTAGGAATTCTAAGCATGACAGAGCCCACGGGAGCAGGGACTGAGCCGTGCCTGGAGCGGCAGGATGGAGGCACATGGACAGCACCTGTCACCACCAGCACGCTCTCCATGCAAAGGGGCTCTGCAAGGAGCCCCTGGGCATGTTCCCTGACCTCCTCAAATGATTTTTGGATCAGGAATTTCTAGCATGGGCATTAACAGGGAGACACATAAAAGCACCTGTCCTGTGCCGTGGTCTATGTGACCAGACGCTCCTCAAGGGCATTATGTCCCCCAACCCAAATCACTCATAAATTTTCTGGTCAAACCACCTTAATTCACACCATCCAGAGACACCTCAGAGCTCCCACAAACGTGTACCTGCAGCTTGTCAGCAGTCACAGCAGAAATGGAGCAAAGCAGAACCCCCGAGGCACCTCCTGGACTCCACACAGTTGATAGAGCCTGAGCAGCATCTGCCCACCCTGGTGTAGGCTAACAAGTCATTACATTCAAAACACATTAGTCGCTCCCAAACACCCACACTACCATTTGAAATCCTACCAATTACTGAGTGTGTTGTTTGTGTGACTGCCTAATCCCACTCCCAGAACCCCACCACAGCACTTATGGTGCTTTACGTGTCATTTCTGTATATGCACCTGGCTGACATCACCACAAAGAATCCCACTTCCAAATCTCTGAATGCCATGGAAAGCATTAATGTTTTCATTCCTGGTTATGTACAGGGTGCAACAGAACGTGGGTAAAAGCAGCAGGCTCTGCCTGGATGCCTGGAGAGCTTTCCCTCGAGATACTCCAGAGTTTGAAGGATGGATTTCTTTACAACTCAAACAGATGGCAAGATACAGACAGCTTTGCATCTCTTCAAGCCGTAAGACTTCTCCTTCCTCCCAGTACAGCAGAGATGCTGTAACACTGAGTTACAGAGAGAGGTGACTGAGATCTTTCAGCAACACGGACTGAGTCCTACACACCACTCCAGGTTATTCTAATGCAATTTTGTCTAACAACACAAAGGTGTTACATAAGGCAGCTGAAAAGTTTAATTTCTCCCAATTTTTCCCCAGCAGCAAAGAGACAGTCTAGCTAAAGCAGAGACAGTGACAGACCTACCCCCTGCACAGCTGTGCTGAAGGAGCAGCTAAAAAGCTGCGCCAGTGTCCCCAAATAGTCACCGGTGACTGTTGTGACACTTGCACTGCAGCGTGGGAGAAGGGTCCTTTCATCTGGGAAAGGTCACTAAGGCAAAGCTCATCTTTGATAGCTTTTCAAACCTAAGTACCATCAAGCAGCAAATATATTTTCTCAGACCTTCCCATGTTCGATAATGAAAAGCATCAGGACCAGGCAGTGAGCGAAATGCTACGCTGTAGGACAAGCAATATAAATGCAGAACAGGCACAGTATAGAACCCAAATCCCGTAACCGGTCCATGGAGCGGCTTGGGACACTACTGGGGAGGGCAGACGTGGTGGGTGCAGATTTTCACGGAGCAATTTTTCCATTCAAAGGAGCGAGACCCCTTGAAGGATGCTGCTGACTTTGCCCTCGGACACGCACAAGGCATTTCAGCCGCGGAGAAACCACCGAGCAAACTGACCGCGCTTCCGAATTCCCGAAGATTATAGAGATCCATCCCTAACAAATCCACTTCTGACACGCTCTTTGCCAACCCAGCAAATAAAAAAACCCTGCGGGTGCTGTGGCCAGGCCGGCGGCGAGGACGCTTCTGGAGACAGTCACCTCTCCAGAGGGTGCGCGGGGTGCAGGGTGGCACGGCCGCGAGTGTGCGGCTGCTTTGGGGGATCGGGGCGGCCAGCGACAGAGACCCGCCGGCAGCTGCCACTCCCCAGCCCCGGGATGGTCCTGGCAGACAAACCCCGGGTCGTGTCCGCACCGTCCCGAGGGTCTCGGGGCTCATCCCAGCCCGGCACGGCCCCTGAGGCGGCCGGGGACGAGCGCGGGGACCCCCGAGACACCGCCCGCCGCGCCCCCGGCACCCACCTCACTTTGGCCGCCACGGACGACATGGCCTCGTTCCTGAGCGTCTTCCTTTTGGACACGGCTGTGCCCATATTCGCGCGGGGGGTCGCGGCCGGGGGAGCGCTCATCGCCGGGCCCCGCGGCTGCCCATGCCGGGGCGCGCCGCCGCCCCTCGCCGCCGCGCCGCCTCAGCGCCCCGCCATGCCGGCCCCCGGCCCGCGGCCCCAGCCCGCGCTGCGCTCCACCGCGGCCGCTGCCGCCCCATTGACTGCGGCAGGAGGGAGGGAGGGAGGGAGGGATGGAGAGAAGGAGGGACGAACCCGCCCCACCGCCCAGGAAGCGCCGCTATATTTGGCCAGCGGCACCTCCTCCGCCCGCCTGACATCATGGCCGGGGAGGGGGCGCGGGCCCCGACTCAGGGGCCGCGCGGGGCGGCGGGACCCCGGCATGGGCGGTGTGCGGCTGCAGCGGAGCAGGGGAACGTGAGGGGACAGCTCCGGGACTGCAGCTCCTCCCGAGGGGCAGCACCCATCTCTGCTCCCTGTGACAGGGACAGAACTCAGGGAACGGCTGGAGCTGGGCCAGGGCAGGCTCAGGCTGGAGCTCAGGGCAAGGTTCTTCCCCCAGAGGGTGCTGGGCACTGCCCAGGCTCCCCAGGGAATGGGCACGGCCCCGAGGCTGCCAGAGCTCCAGGAGCGTTTGGACAGCGCTGCCAGGGATGGACAGGCTGGGATTGTTGGGGGGTCTGGGCAGGGACAGGGGCTGCCCTGGGTGATCCTGGTGGGACCCGTCCAGCTCAGGATATTCTGTGATCCCACGGTTCTGCCTGAGGGAACATCCAGCCACAGCCGTCAGACTCGGCTGCAAAGGGAGGCCCAGGGGTCGCTCCCTCCAGGCTCCTGTCGGGAAGCAGATGTACAACCTGAAAAAAAAATCAGTCATTTTGACACAAAACTGCCTTTGGCAGGCCGGGTGAAAGGTTTCACACAGGGTTTATTTTTCACAGCAGGGCAGTGTATGAGTGCAGCCGCATCCCCCTGTGGGGTGGATACAGTCATGAAGGTCGGACTACCGGGGTTTGGACACGACAGCTCTGAAGGAGTGACACAAACACAGCTGGCTTTGTCCCCTGAGCACTGCTCCCCACCGTTGTCCCACAGCAGGCAGCACAGCTGTTCCCAAAGTGACTGGAGGCAGTGGAGCCATGAGGGGACATCGATGTTCAGAAACCTCCTTGTGCCCAGTGTCACCTGTCAGAGCAAACACCCGCCTTGAAGTCATCGAGTGCTTGAAAACAAACCCAACAGAAGGAGCTGATCAATCAGCCAGCCTTGGAGGATTTTCAATTCACACAGTCACAGAACTGCTTGGGTTGGAAGGAACATTCATAGACCACTTACTCCATGCCATGGCAGGGACACCTCCCACTGTCCCAGGCTGCTCCAAGCCCCAGTGTCCAACCTGGCCTTGGACACTTCCTGGGATCCAGGGACAGCCACAGCTGCTCTGGGCACCCTGTGCCAGGGCCTCACTACCCTCATAACAGAAAATTTCTTCCTATCCTAAATCAATTCCTTTGCCCTTTATCCTGGCCCTGATAAAAAGTCTCCCTCCATCTTCCTTATAAACTTCCTTTCAATATATAAAGGTTGCAAGAAGCTCTCCTCAGAGCCTTCTCCATCTGATCACTCCTAACTCCTTCAGCCTTTCTTCACAGCAGAGGGGGTCCAGCCAGATCAATTTCGTGGGTGTAGGTTTTGATCCCTAGGGAAGGTTGGAAAAGTGTTTTTCCTTGGGAAAGTATTTTATAAATCTGCTTCTAGGGCACTTAAGTGAGTGGGGAAGCAAATTCTTACACATTATTCATAATACATACAGCAAAAGCACTTGGATTGTCCCCCTGACTCCACAGGTGACTTCGGGAATCCCAGGAACTCAGAGCCACTCATTCAATGACATTGGACAGAGGGGTAGAAGTTTTCTAGATAATTAAAATTCCTACAGGCTTTGTGAAAGAGGCAGCTGAAGGAGGGAGTGACAGGCACACCTTGTCTTATCTGTACCTGAGGAAGGGCTGTAGCATAAGCTTCATGTTCTTCAGAAACTGTGCATGAAGAGACCAAAAGTTGGGGAAAAGCTTCAGTCCTCTCTCTCCATAGACTCTAAAGTAAAATCTGCAAGAAAATATAATTGGATTTGAACAAATTAAGTCTATTTGGTCTATTAATCTAGCCATTGAAAAATGAACTAATTTCTATAGAGAGAGAAAAAGAGATGGAGAAGGTACCCAATTCCCCTGGTTTGTGTGGACACGAGGAGCAGAATACAAACACCTCACCAAGCAGAATTTTATCACAATCTGAACAATTCACTACGAATAACAAATTTTCAGAGTTGTATCTTTGCTGAGGCCCAAGCTGTGTGCACAATAAAGACATAGAAATACTTAACAAATAAGGTCAACCTATACTTCCCAACTCTTTTTTCCCCTGTGTGTAAACTAGATGGGGGAAATGTTCTTTATTTCTATGTTTAAATATTTTGCCAGTTGAGGCAAATGCTATTCCTTAAAAATACAACTCACCTTCCAAACTAACAGTCAAGTCTGCTCTATCCATGACACAATTCCCACCAGATCTACCTGGAAGCACCCCAAAGTTGCTCACAGTGATATTTTTTATGTACAAAACAAAACCCAACCTCAGTATATTGGATTTTTCCCCCCAGAATATGACTCCAATTAAATTTCTACTCATGACTATCCCCTTACCCTGTACAGTCATGTCACCAAAGAGTTCCTACAACAGAAAAGGAGAAAAAACCCATCTGTTTTGAATGAGTAACTGAAAAAAAAAAAAAAGCAAGCCACTTGTAGATAACTAGAGCCATGCAAGCAGTTACAGTCTCCATGAAGCTGTGCCCAGTGCTGTTGATTTCCAGAATTAAAAAGCATCCAGATGGATGCTTCCATCTCTTGTTCAGACTGCTCTTACTTGTGCCTCTTGCTCTCCCTTGCCCGTTCCCCAGCAAGGTCTCCCTCCTGGAGGATGGGGAGGGTCCAGCCCAGAGCAGGGCTCACTTTGAAGACTGCTCAGGGCTTGGCCCGCTGGGTTCTGAACACCTCCAAGGATGGAGATGCAAACCATGCTCTGGTCCATGCCTTAGGGCTGAGCCACTCTCACAGGGAAAGATTTCCATAGATCCACTGGGAATCTCCTGTGCTGATCTGTGTGCCCTGGAGGAGCACCCAGCTCCATCACTCTGCAGCACCTCAGGAGCCCTGCAGAATCTCTGCACATTCTCCTCTTGCTCTCTGCTTCTTCCCTGACTTCTTTTAGGGTTTCCTCCCTGCCTTTGGGTTTAATAAGTCCAAGTGCCGAGTCCTGCATTTTGGCCACAATAACCCCCTGCAGTGCTCCAGGCTGGGGACAGAGTGGCAGGACAGTGCCCAGGCAGGAAGGGACCTGGGGACACTGGTGAACACCGACTGAACATGAGCCAGCAGTGTGCCCTGGTGGCCAAGAAGGCCAATGGCTCCTGGCCAGGATCAGGAATGGTGTGGCCAGCAGGAGCAGGGGGGTCATTCTTCCCCTGAACTCAGCACTGGTGAGGCCACACCTCGAGTGCTGTGTCCAGGTCTGGCCCCTCAGTTTAGGAAGGACATTGAGATGCTTGAGCACATCCAGAGGAGGCAACGAGGCTGGGGAGGGGCTTGGAACACAAACCCTGTGAGAGATCTGGGGTTGTTTGTCCTGGAGAAAAGGAGACTCAGGGGTGACCTTATCAACTCTACAGCTCCCTGAAAGGTGGCTGTGCTCAGGTGGGGTTGGTCCCTTTCTCCAGGCAGCACTGACAGAACCAGAGGACACACTCTCAAGCTGTGCCAAGGGAAAATTAGGTTGGATTATTAGGAAAAAGTTTTTCATGGAAAGAGTGATCAAGTACTGGAATGGTCTGCCCGGGGAGTTGATGGAGTCACCACCCCTGGATGTGTTTAATAAAAGACTGGATGTGGCACTCAGTGCCATGGGTTAGTTGAGGTGTTGGGGCATGGGTTGGACTCGATGATCTTGGAGGTCTCTTCCAACCCAGTGATTCTGTGACTCTGTTTATCTCAGGCATTTGTGGGTCTGGTTACCCAAGAAGAGGAGGCAGCCAGCTCTTTACAGCTGGAGAGATGCCTTTGCTTCGTGCTAGGAAAAAAGTCAGGCGAGCCAGGCAGACAGTTCCCACAGCTTCTCCATGGCAACAGGGCCTCCCAGACACACACACACACACACACAGGAAAAACGGGCTGAGGGGGCCAGGAGCATCACAGCCCCTCCAGCGGAGCCTCAAACCTCCACTCATGGGACTCTCATTCCAAAACACCTTCCAAAATAACCACAGCTGGCCAGAGGAATGTTCCTTCCTTCCACTGGAGAAGGTGCACTGCCCTGAAGCCCAAGCCAGGCAAAGTTCATCCCAATCAGTGATGGGTTTTGTCCAGAGAACTGCATCACACTTGAAATCTGGTGTCTCTGCATCCTGTCAAACCAAACAGCACATCTCTGCCAGCAGAAAACCCAGAACCTCAAACCTCATTAGATCTAGGTCTCAGATCAGATTCTGATACTCAGACTTTAAGGAGCATTATTTTTATGTTTAGAAAAGTAATTTTTGTCTAAATGAGCAAAAACTGTGTATCCTGACAATTTAAATGCAAAAAAGGAGAAATAAGGCGAGCCAAAACCAGTCACAGCAGCAACCTGCAAAAGGGAGAGGCAAACAATAATAAATACTTCTTCAAGCACGTCAAGCTGGAGAGTCAGAAGTTGGCTATGGTGCAAGAGAAGCATTCATAGGAGATAAGGTCAGAACAGAAAAACAATGAATATTTTGCATCTGTAGTCAGTGAAGAAAAGCTTGGAGATGTTCCTGTGCCAAAAGTCATCTTTATATGGACGTGGCATTGGATTTGGCTCATGTTCAAATGTCAGCAGAAGAAGTTGAGGAATAAATAGCCAAACTAGAGAGTGCAAATGCACCAGGCTGAGATGGTTCACCTAAGTGCCCAGTTGAGAGCTCAAAGGTGAAACAGTTTAATTACTTAATTGTAGCATGTAATCACTGTGTGTAACAGCCTCAC